TTTTTTTTTTTTTTTTTTTTTTTACAGCGAAGCCTGAAATTTCTGTCTGGCCTCATATCCAGCTGGCACCTTCTCTCCTGGAACAGTTTTCTAACTCATTCTGGGCTAATATTTGTACAAGCATACCCACGTGTGCTTTGTTTACATGCTAACTGGATCTAGAGTTTCCAGGACTGTTCGTGTGTGTCCACTGAAGTGTGTCCATGTCCATGCATGGACCAACACCACCTTAAGAAAAAAGGGGGGTGCAGTAGATGCCACCTTCTGCCCCTCAGACCAGGGAGGCATGGGGGTGAGGCATGACTGGAGCCTCTAGGCCAGTGAGGGACACCAGGGGGAGGGAGAGCCAGGCAGGGAACAGGTAAGTGGAACCCACCTACCACCACTGCTGTTCCAAGGGGAGCCTAACACAAGCAGCCGCTCCCCCACCAGCTGGGGGCAGCCAGGGCAGTGGGCAGGTCCCTCTTTCCTTCCCCTACTCCCTACACAGTCCCATTTGATGTCCCCAACCAGCTGAGGCTCCAGTTGTGGAGAGCAGTTGCATGAGCTGCCGGACTTGACAGGGGACGTGGAAGCAGCAGCAGGCAGGCCTCCCGTACCCCCCGCCAGCCCAGGAAATCCAGCTACACTTCCCCATCCCTTCCTTTCCCCCATGGTCTGACCTCAGTTTCTGCCTGGACCCTTCAGGGGACCAAGATGTCCAGGGCCAAGGAGAACTGGAGCCAGCCAGCATACCCTCCAGAGAGCTGGCTCTGGCCTACAGTGCAGAGAAGTTGCAACTGGGTCACTACACCCCTCCCGATCCATCCCTGTATCATTGAGCAGGCAGGATCTTTAAAGGCAGGCAAGACAGTCCAAAAATATTATGCAGTAAACTCAATAATCCATCCTTATATCCAAATTTCTTTATTTCCAATGTAGAAGAAAAACTGGAGATGGAAAAGATCCATTATGTGCTTTAGCACATTCCCTAGGGAGAAGTGTAGGATTGTTTCCTCTGTGCATTTTCCAGTTTTCAGTCCAGTCTAGATTAGGATGATTTAAGCACTTTGGTGTGCTCCATTTTCTGTAAGAGACTCCTGCTAACCCACAGCTGAACATGCAGAAGATTTCTGAGTAACTAACAACTCACTCCTGTCTCTTAGCTGAAATAAAGCTAGTAGAGTATTGTAGTGCAAATCTCCCTCTTAATATTTCTCCTCAGGACAGCTGTTCTTCACCCACACCCAGGTCCCTTTGCTAACCTGCTCACTTTCATAGACAGTGGGGCACATTTTCAAGCAAAACATTTGTCACAAAGGTCCTCTATAAAAAACAAGGATTCTTGCCCCCCCAAAATATTACTGACACTATTAAATTTTCATTTTCATGAAAAAATATCATTTTTATATAAATTTTGAGAAAGAGGATATTTAAAAATGTTATCAGAATTTACCAAAAACCTGGGTTTTGATCAACAAATCTTTTTTTTTTCTTGAGAACTCTTTTAAGGCAAATGAAAAACCACCATTCAATAATGCTTTTCTTAAAAAAATACAAGCACTTCAATATCTATTTAAAAAATTCAATAAGAATCAGTTTCTAACCTTGGAAGTGGAACAACTGGCTCGATGCAGAAAGTTACTGGCTAAGACTCTTTGGCTTCTTTTCTTCAGGAAGTTAGGCTACAGGCTAGCCTTAAAATATATACACTCTGATTTTTTTACAAAACTATTTTTCATTATTGCCATTCATATTGGCATTAAGGTAGGACAAGTCCTAGACCTAGGCCCCATTTTTCTAGGCACTGTACAAACATAAAGGGTCTGTGTTGTATTGAACCTATAGTTGAACCATAAGGGATGCGACAAGAAGCAAATATAACAAACAGACAAGGAACTCGATGTAATGGGAGAAATGTGTCAACAAGCAGCGGTCACTAGACACCCTTTGCCTAGCCCCTGCCAAGTTTTTGGAGACATCCCAGCAGAGGGAATATTTATGGAGGAATGTAAAGGAGAACAATTAAGAGACTTTGTGGATGGCTCAATCAGCTCAACATGCAAGTCATGGAATCATAGAAGTAGGGTTGGAAGGGACCCTGTAGATCTTCAAGTCCGACCCCCAAGTAATGGCATGTGGGCAAGTAGGAGACTGATTTACTATTGCTCGCTGCAGAGAACTCTGCCTCACGGTGTCTACTCATAAATGCTGTAGAGAACAATCACCGTGCACTCCTTAGCGTGCAGTACAGAATGAGCAAACACCTAAATAAATAATCTGTCTCCATTGTTGGTGCTTACAGGTCCCACACAAACAGTTGTATGGAAGAAAGTAGAAGGCTGGAATGGGAACCGTGTGTGTCAGGCTATCAAAGTCTAAGGAGGGCTAGTGACAACTGCAGTAAGAAACTGCATGTCTGTGTGTGTGCATGCCACACGGGGTCAGAGGTGGAAGGGGCCATGACACTTTTGTGGTGTAGTGGCATAACTAAGGTGGGGCAAATGGGGCAACTGCTCCAGGAACCAACTTAAGGGGGCCTTAGGCACTCGTGCAGAAACTAGAAGTTGCCACTGCCTTTGTGCCCTAGGGGTCTGGCTGTGTCCCTACGCTACTGCTGGAATATTAAAAGTCTGAGGGAAATAAAGCCCTGCTTCTAGACCAGTGCTATCTGTTGTTGGGGCGGAGAGGGATGAGCTGTTCATAGCATCACTGACACTCTAAACAAGCATTGGGGTGGAATGCCTCCTTCAAATGTCTGTGATATCAGGAAAGGAAGCAAGGTCTTGGCAGATAAGCAAAGCAGCCATTGACTCTTGTGTATTTTACTCTTAAATTGTGTCAGTTGGACATTCTGTTACTGGTTACACTATCATTTGCTTTTTCAAAAGCATTTCAGTTCTGTTGCAAGAGGCAGCAGCCCCAGGTGTCTGCTTATCGGAAAACTTCTGTTTCTGCCCTTAATACTCTGCTAATGATTAGCTTGCAGCACTGGCATAACAGGGTTTTTTATTTTATTATCCTCCTATTACCTGGTGGGTATTTATGTGTGCGTCAAGATGAGATGAGCAGGCCTTTATATTTGTATTTAATTTATGAGATGGGCACCTACAGAGAATTCGAAAAAACACAGTATCGAGTCACTTGACAGCATTCATTTTACAACAAAGCTCCCATGGTTGCATTATTTTCTTGCCTTCTCAACTGATCCTTAACTAGGACATACAACTTGTTTGCTTTTTTTAAAGGGAACTCATCTACACATCTACATTATGTATTAATAGATATATAATTTGAATACAGTAAATTGTTAGCAGCTTTGTATTCTCAATAATCCTGCAGTTGCTGCATGGTGGAATTCCAGCAGAGCACCAAACACACCAAATTCTGTCAGCGTGACTGTGTCAGGTAGACCATGAAGACAGGTGATCCCCAATTGACAGAATGGTGCCATCAGAAACCCCAGTCGTAATCTTACAAACTTATATTGGCAAAACGGCTCTTTTTCTTGGCACAACTTGCTTTGTTCAGGTGTGGTGGAATGGCAGAAAAATGCAGTTTTGCTGATATAACTGCAGCCACAAGAAGACTGCTTTGCCACTGTAGCTTGACTTCTTAGGGAAGCTATTACTTCTCTAATGAAACACACTCCTGAGCTCTACAGACAAGACCAAATTGCATTTCCTGCATGTGGGTGACTCTTGGGATGACTTAAGAGTGAGCATAAGCACTGTGAAACACTAGATCCTTTCAGCCAGGAGGGATCTGTTTTATTACTATGAAAGGTACAGAAACACTGGCACAGCTATGTATAGATTTATTTTGTACCTATTTATTTAACAGGAAATATAAATAATAAATTAGTTATTTTAATGCTTCTCCTCTCCTTTCTCCCAGCACATTGTTCTAATACTTGATTTCTCTGTGAATCTGTTTTCAGTACTTTTAAGTCTTCTATTTCCCCCTTATTTCAACAACATCATCTCATTTGGGAGAAAGCAGACCTTAGAATTGTGTCATCTTTGCTAGGTTTGGGGAGGAAGATCTCAGACCCTTGCTATAGAAATAATACTGCCATTATACTCTGAATTCCTCAGATGCTAAGTATCCTTGTGTTTAGTCCCTGTGGCAGGGCGGGGGCCTGGGGTGCCGTGTCCTCCCCTCGCACCCCTGCCGACCATGCCAGATCAGGTTTCCTGCACCCTCTATCACTCGCTTGCCACGTCTTTGATCTTTAGTTCATTAAAGGGAGGCTGCCTTTCTCCCTCCCTGGCACAATGCCTCTGATGCCCGCGCTTCTCGTGCCCATGCCCACACCGGGGCCCTTACCCATGCTTCTCGCGCCTCCTTACTCGTGCTTCTTGCGCCTCTCGCGCCCTGCTCACGCCCCCCCGTGCTTCCCGCACCCGCGCTTCTCGTGCCCCCCCGTGCTTCCTGCACCCGTGCTTCTCGCGCCCTCGCCCACTGGGCCTCTTCCCTGTGCTCGCATAGCCCGCATCAGGGTCTCTTCCCCGTGTCTGCATAGCCCGCACCGGGCTCCTACCCGTGCTTCTCGCGCCCACTACAACCCCCTCCCTGGCGCTCGGAGCACCCCCACCTTACTGGGGGGCTCCTGTTGAGGCCTCCTCCACCCCTACAGCCTCGCCCAAACCTCCGGTGACACTGTGCTTTTCGCGCCACAACAACTAAAACCATGAACACAAGCCCCTGGGCTATAACATAAATTCCTGGCCAACCTGGCTTACTTCCATGCATCTCCCCATCAGGGTTTTCTCAAGCTCCATTCTCTTTGGCGGCCAGAGGGGGACTGAGCTCTGGCCTCGGCCTATGTTGTTTATAAAGGCCAGGTCCTACCCCCTTCTGGTCAGCTGACCAGACCGGTTGTCACGGCAACCCCACACCTGTGCTGCCCTGGGGATTGGCAGCTGAGCTCGTCACACCGCCTCCAGTAGCAGGCACTTTAGTGCCCTGCTACAGTCCCCTTTTAAACAGACCATGCCCAAATTCTGCTCACTAGAAAGTCTGATATAGTAGGAAGACACCAAACTGAGACAGAACTCACTTTTATTGGAGGAAGAGAAGGGTACAGGAAGATTAAAAGGTGGTGATGACCCTTAAGTTCATGAGCTGTATAAAAATAGAGTGCAGTAGGAAGGAGAAACTCCTCCAAAGATCTGACGTTACTAGTAAATAAAAATAACCTCTGTAATATTAAAAAGTAAACACTGTGACAATACCTAAAAGGCTTTGCTGTGTCAGGGCTGTGTACCTCAAAGAATTTACACCTATTGTGTACAAATAAGCCAGTAATACACATCTGACTGGCACTGAGCCTACCTCAGCATATGTAACCTTAGGGTGATACACAGATCTTTCAAGGGGGGCAATTCTGTAGGTATGGAAGGTGTCCATCTGCTTGCAAGCAGCACTTGAATGAGGCCCAAAATAACCATGAAGCACCCTCAAGATTCCCTATAGTCATTTTCTGTGATGTAGGAAGGAAATGCAAGGAGGGGGCATGAAGAAGTTAATTCATAACTTACCAAAGTTTTCTCCTCCCCAGATGTCCATTTGAGTGTCATATTTCCCCAGGTGATTAAACCAGGACTTATCAATAACAAAGATGCCTCCTGCTATGACAGGTGTTCTGGAGAAAAGGAAGGGCAAACATAATAAATATTACCACCACAAATACAAACCCCTTTGCACTTGCACAGGACCTTTCAGCTGAAAGTCACAAGACACTTTAGTTAATCAGTTAGTCAGGCCTCATAACCCCAACTTCATCTTCTCCATTTTATGGCTGGACAAAACTTGGCCTGTCCTAGCTCTCTGCCTCATTCACCATGAGGAGACAGCAGGGTTGGGAACAGGACTCAGCTCTTTACTCTAAATCTTGTACTTTTGTCATCAGGCTGTCCATCTTCGCATGCATATGAAGGATGCATGTGTGCATGGGAGAGTCCGAACAACCTACTGACTCCATAAAGCAGTAGGATCCACCCTTTTTGGCAAGTATACCATAAATTAGCTCCATAGGATCCCCAAATGCCACTCCAATCCCCTTCCCCTGCCTCATCTGCTGCTCTGGTTTCAGCTTCCTGCCCTGTGCTCCCTGCCTGACCTACTGCCCTGCTTTCTCCTTTCTGCCCCGTCTACCACTGTAGTGCTTCTCCCCTCCTTGATTTGCCACATGCCACAGAGGCTGCCTGTGCTACTTGTGACACACATGCTGAAGGATGGCCACCCCCCTGCCATAAAACATGCAGGACACAGCTACAAATGCACCCCACTTTTGGCTTCTGGAAAGCAGGAATCAGTAAGGATGACAAAGTCTCTAATGCTATTTAAAAGGATATTACCCAATTCTTAATGTCCTACAGTTAGGAACCTTATTGTCTAAATAGACAAGCATTTTGGTTTTGCATCAGCATTGTTCACATACCAAACTTCTCAAAGCTTTGTACACAGACGTGAATTAGGCAGCAGTTGTTCTGACAAACAGGGAAGCTGGTAGATGTTCCCATCTCTGTCAAAACCTTGCCCCAAAATATGAGTGTTCAAGGACCACTTGTGGTTGCAGGTTAAGTTCTCAGACTCTGCTACTGACTTCCTGTCTGACACCAGACAAATTGTTCAGTGTCTCTAGTCCTTAATTCCTTGCCTGTAAAATTGGGAAAATGCCGCTTTCTTACCTTACTGGAGAGACATGATGCACTCAGACAGGTGAGCGATGGGGGCTATATAAATAGACAGGGAGAATGGGCTGCAACAGCTTGTAGATGCACTTAATTTACTATCACTCTCCTTTTTACATTGCTCAGGGAGTAACACAATCATAAACCACAGCTTTCAGACACATCATAATATCTCTTCAAATATGTCACATGACAAGTGTCTCAAAGCACTATCGTGTGGGACAGCATCTCATCTCTGCAAGGCAAATTCTTGTGCATACTCTATCACCAAAGTGAAGTCTTAGCTACACAAACCCAACAGAGACTGGTACCTGATAGACTGGGTTGGGTCTATCCTGGACATCTTCTGCTCTATGGGGATCTGCTCCCACTTAAAGTGAAGGCTCCAGTCAAACCCTGAGAAGAAAAAAAAAGGCTAGGAATGGAATCCTGTTCTGCGCACACACTCTTCCGCCCCCTATGATGATTGATCCCCATCTTCACCTTGCCATGGTGTTGTGGGGTTGCCTGTTGCATCCCTGCCCACGGCAAGTATAACACCAGAGTGCCAGTGCTACTCTGCACATCAGCCAGCAGGAGGCAGCCCAGAATACTGGACCTTCATGGAGCCATCCGTAACACCAGTGAACAGAAAGTCCCAGAGTTACAGTCTTCACCCATCTCAAATTAGCCAGCAGTTTATCCCATTACAAAAGAATGCAAGGAAGCTGCTTTGCTTCCAGGTATCACCCCCCGACCCCTTCCCAAGCACTCCCCTCCCTCAGCAGTCCCTGTCTGTGCTCAACTACACTTCAGATCTTCTGGAGTGTGTCACTGGAGTGAGATGTGATAATTAGTGCTGCTGTATTCTGGCCAGTGTGTCTAATGCCTCATTGGCTGCCAAAATTATGAGGTTTTAATCAACACTCTCAGTGGGATGCGGCTGTTTCTGGGAAGAAAGGCTCCAGGTCATTGTAACTGGCTTTCTCCAGTTCTGTCACTTGTTTTGTTGCCCCATATTTGAGACCTGAGCTCAGTGTCATCCTTAAAACAATGTCAAGCAATGGGGCGGGTACTGAGAGCAAGGAGGATGATAGGAAGGGATGTTGGCAGGTGGAATTCACACAGTTGAAAGAGAGGGAGGGAAGAGGGATGTTGGTGGAAGGGTTCGACAGCAGGATAAGAGCTTAGAGAATGTTTTTCAGGGAGGACTGAGGGAGGATTTAAAGGCAGGGAGGAGCAGCTTTAGGATACTTCCCAGGTGACAGAAGGAAGTCCAGATAGCTGCATACTGCAGGGAGTAGCAAGAGGGATCTACAGAGAGCAGGGAGTTTGTCTGTAAGCTGCCAGCTGGCTGTTGTACTGTTTTCCAGGAATCATGGAGCGGATGCAGGTACATGCAACAGCTAGGAAAGGAGGATCAGCCTAGGGACTTTGCTTGAGTGACCTCTTGGTAGTTAGGTATTGCTGGTTAGCCCTTCTTGCTACTCAGTCAGCAAAGGTGTTGGAGGGAAGTGGTTACTTTCATCACTTCTCCATCAGAGTGAGGGTGATATTGGAGAGTGTGAGTGGGGTTGGTATATGTGCTTTGTCAGGAGGAGGTGGGGGGGCATATATCAAAAAAGCAAATGTCAACAGGCTCAGGGTGATAAAAAAGAGAAGGCTGAGAGGGGAGTTACTAGTAGCTTACCACTATATCAGGGGAATACATCAAGGGCTCAGCGAACAACTGTTCACCAGGGCACCTTTGGGGAAAACCAGGAGTAATGGCCACAAAGTCCTGGAAGACCATTTCAGGCTTAACACTAGAAAAAACTTCTTCATAGTCAGGGTGTCCAGACTGTGGAATAAGCTCCCTCCAGAGGTGGTGCAGTCACTTACCCTGGAAATCTTCAAGAGGAGACTGGACAGTCACCTCACTGGGGTCACCTGACCCCAGTTGTCTTTACTAGTGCAGGGGGGCTGGACCCAATGATCTTGCAAGGTCCCTTCCAAGCCCCTAACAATCTATGAATCTATACATGCATGTGTGTATGCAGCATGTGTAGGCAAGTTTCCAGGTACACTCTGACTGCTGGCCTGTGAGATAAAGATAAGCTCAGCAATCACGGGAGGGTTTGGGTTGGGTGTCAGTGGGCATCCTTGAGCCACTGGGAATACTGGTCTTGAGCACTGCAGGGGTTGTACTGTGGCAGACCTCTCTTCAATGTCTGCCTAGACCTTCAGTCCACTGACCAATCCTTCCTAGAGAGCAAACTTCAGACTCAAAAAATGTCTCTGACTGAAGTAGCCTAAGTGCAGGGTGAGAGGGGAGATCCTAGATGAGCAGCAAGTCCCACCCCTCTTCCCCAGCAAGCTCTATGTTCTCCTTTTCACTACAGCTGGTCCTTCCCAAGGGGTAAAACACAACAGAAAGTCCAGAGCAGCACTGGTGCTACCACTCACTGGAACCAACACAGGAAGGCTCAAGAGTTTCTAAGGGAGCCCTACCAACCACGCTGCCTTCCCTGCTTCTCCTCTTACCTGCCATCTCTCAGGAAAGGAAAAGCAGTAAAAGTGGTTCTCTCTGCTCTGTCAACATAAAAACAAGTGGGGCAGGAAGCAAATTGTACCAATCTAAATCCCTGCTTCAGGGCTACAGCCTGGAAGTCTGATTGCTTACCTTTATCGAGTGACCTCATACCCCTTGGGTATGAGGTGGCTTGGGGGGGAAAGGGGGCCTGGATGATATGATAACATTTCTTCATCCCTCTTAGTGCTGAGCTGCCAATACTTGAATAGCACTGACTGGTCTTTCCCTGCTGCTGAGATATCTATGCAAGCTAAGGACAGACTTGGTATGGTTTTATTTCATTCCTACAAGAGATTGAGCAGTGAGCATTGCAGAACCAAGAGACAGAACTTGGCTGGGAAAACCTCTCTTTGGCTTCCTGGGAAGGTCAAGAGAACATCAGCTGTTCCTCATGCACTTTCCCTCTAACATATCCAAGCTGGCAGCCTTACGTACCTCCCCTGAGATCTGCTGATGCTGCCAAGTAGGCAAAATTATCCAGGCTGATCACATCAATGATTGGACTCACCACTCGGGTATAATCCTGCCAGAACAGAGGAGAGAAAAGTCAAGGCCCCTCTTGGGGGAAGAGATGCCAAAGCTACAGGAGATCAGAGAATGTAAAGCGATGCATACAGCCTCAAGACACAAAACAAAGCATCACACAGACAGCATTCATTGCCTCCAATCTGGCAACTGGGTAATGAATACATAACCACTGAAGACACATGATAGTCATCAATTGCACTTCCTGTCCATGAGGGAATGGAATTGAGGTCCTCTTACAACGTGAGACTGACACACAGACACACAAGGAAGAGAGAGCCCTTTGAGCCTGGTCACATGACTGGCGGAACAGTCCCAAAGATTAATATTTCTGTCCTGTGAATAAGAATCGGCACCTACTGATCCCTACGGTTGCATTAAATCTTGCTTGGATTATATGCGAGTAATTTTATCAACCCCAAACAACCAGTCAACTAATAGAACACAAATACAGATGCAGTATTGTCAACTGCAAGTGTCTAAACATTATGAATCAAATTCCCTAAAACCATGAGGCAGGCTTAAAAATCATAAGATTTTATTAAAATTAACAAACTTGGTGTGTTTTATTGGTCTTCTGGTGTCTGAGGTGTTAGGCAGAGTACATTCAGGTCACATTTTCTAGCCTGAGGACTAGAAATGTGTTTCTTATTAAAGGAAAGTTGAGATTTTAATCACTTGATTCCAGGAGCTGGAGCTTTAAAGACGCACACCAAACATGACAAGATTTATGATAAAACTGTATGCACTGGCCATGCTTCAGAGAGAGTGCCATTTATTGGGTCTTTCTCAGTCCCCACTCCCTATAAACTTCCTTGGCTTTCTGATCACGTGACTATTTCTTGTTCTCAAAAGAGTTCCTTCTGCTCTGGCCAGTTTAGTCAGTGCAGTGTCTCTCAGCCTATGTATACCATGTTCATCATTTAGTGACTTACTAGGCTTGTGTCAATTCTTCCAGTATATGAACACTATCTCCAGATGTGCCCGAGTCTATTCCTTGCAAGATTTAGGCTCAGTCTACAACTAACCAGGAGACAGGCCATTTCAGGAATCAATCCTGACAGCCAGAGAGATCCAAAACCAAGATAAAAAGATGCTGTGAATGTGGAGCAAATTTGGCATCTGAACCTACACCCCTATGACCTATGTCTGTAATCAACTCAACCAAAATCCCAGAATTTCAGAAAGTGTGGACCAGAGTCCTGAGTTCTTGGCTAAGATTCATCCTTGCTAATGACTTGTCAGGTCCCTTCTGCTTAGGAACCATCACCATGCTGCCTCTGCTGCTGCCAGGAGTATGACTTTACGAGCAGAAGTAAAACAGACATTTATGAGCTACTGAAATGGAGGATTGATTGAACAGGACTAAAAAGCTGAAGCTTTCAAGTCACCCTCTTCCTCCCCTTGATATCAAGTAGAGCAGATATGAAAATATGCAGAGCAGTTGTCAGCACCTCCCACTCTCTCCTGGGTCCTATTACTATCTGGGTAATCCTTCCACCGGAGAAGGAGAATGCCACACATGTCAGTGGCTGGGAGTGGTCCCCCGTCCCCCTGCTCTTCCACTGCATGTTGTTCAGCAGTCCTGTCACATCCCCAGTTCAACTCCACAGCACAGTCAGGGTGAGAGCTACCAATGCTGCTGTTTCATCTGTTTCTCCAACTTGAGGTTAAACTATTCTTAAGCCTACATTTTTAAAGGCTGTCCCCCTGTACATTTAAGGGTCCTATGCTACGTGGGGAAACGCACAGCTGTGCATGCATGTATATGTATGCATACATATATTCATGTCTATGAGTGTGCATGTGTGCTTGTGCATGTTGCTTACTGTCAGGGGTCAGCAGGAGGAGGACTTGACTAGCTGTGAGAGGAAGGAGGGGGAAGGTTCAGCAGTCAGAAGGGAGACTGTGGAATGGTGTGTGCTGGGTATGCTTCAGTGTGTGCTGGGTATGCTTCATAAAAGGGAGTGTTTGCATAGGGGGAAGCCTCAGGGAAGGCTAATGTAGGAGTCAGTGGCACACTTTACGATATCTCCCTATCCTACACCTCACGTTCCTCTTCCTCTCAACAGGACAGTTTGCTGGGGCTTTTCAGTGAACAGCTCTGTAATACACAGCAGGTGCATGTTGCACTAGCTATTATAGACTCCATACTCCTCTCCAAAACATTCAGGTTTGACAGGGACATGTTTGGATGGTGCCCATTCTTGATGCTGGTACCCACATGGATGGTGCCAACTACTGGTTGCTTGGCAAGACTGGCCCCAGATGGGGGCTGTAGAAGGTAAGGACTGGGGTGGGAGAGTTGGTGCTCACCTCTTTCACTCTCTGAAGCATCGGCTGCAGCCACTCACTATTAACCTCACAGTGACTGTCCAGGAAGGTGAGAATCTCAGCTGTCGCCACCTCAGCCCCTCGCACTCGAGAGCGAATCAGTCCTAAGAGAAGGAATGGGTAGAGAAAGGGGGAGGACAGCAAAAAGGAAAAGGAGAGAGTAAAAAAGCAGCCATGGCAGGGAGATTAGGAAAGAAATGTGTTGCACTTCTACCACTTAGAGAACATGACAGGACTCTCACTGCTGCTGGTCAACCCATGTAACCATTTACACCAATTCAGTGACTCTGGTGGCCATTCCTCCATGGTTAACTGGTTCTCTTACACTGGTCCACAACCTGAACAGGGCCAACTAGTATGTGGAATACTGTTAGCAAAGAAGTTACGGCTCAAAATATGTAGCTGGTTTGGCTGGTTCCCTACCAGCCCAGGAGGAGAAGCCAGCCCAGGCCAGGGATGTGGGCTTTTCTTTTCTGCCCATGTCACCAATCCACTCATCCAGGCTCATTTCAGGTCCTATTGTGAATACCTGAACCCCCTCCTCTCCACCTATGCTCACACCCACTTCACTACCATCCAGTCAAAACAAAAAACACAGCTGTTACTATCCCTTCTCATCTCATCTCATCACACCCATCTTAGAAAACCTCCACTGGCTTCTTTACCCTTTTCAGTCTGCTGTATTCATGCTGGTTGTCCAGACCTCCAGTACTCACAACTTGGCTCCTCCCTTCTTATATGCTCTTGTTTGTTATTGCATCTCTTTCTACTTTGCTACTGGTGCTGGACCATCCCATAAAATTTGTGCTTTCTTTCACCTCATCCCTGATGCTTAGGATACCCCTTCCTGGCCTGATCTGTCAAGTCACCACCCAATTTCAACTCCATACCTCTTTCAAGACCAACATCAAGCAGTTCATAATGGTTCAGCTAGAGGACAGCAAGTGAAAAGCAGTGTCTCAATTTATGAACATGTTATATATGTGAAACATTATCTTTTCCCAACTGTTGGGGGTGTGTGTGTAATACACACACACACACACACACACACACACACACACATATATGGTTGTCTTCTCTTCCATATTCAGATATTTCAGATCTTGTTAGGATGTAAGCTAAACAGATCAGGAATCATGTCTACCTATAGTTTTGTACAGCACCTTGCACAATGAGGGCAACTGAACTTTATTGAGGATTCTGGGCACTACTGCATTGTGAATGCATAAAAAAATATACAATGTGAAACATAAAACATGAGGATTGATAACCAGATTGCTGCCAGATTGTGAAATAAAAACTTCAACTTTATTGCAAGTATAAAATCACTACCATGAGAAATAGCTTCTAGGGGAGTGGAGGGATAAGGCATGACTTTGAGAACAGATGGTACCTGCAAAGTTTCCAATGCTCACCTTCTCGTCGGCTGTTGCGTAGACACTTAACCTTGGGGATCTTGGTAAGGAGCTGGCAGTCCTCAGCTAAGGAAAGGGAAAAATGTTTGGCAAAAACACATGAATTATTTGGCTTCAGTGGAGAGCTCTGATGAACTGTTCTCATATGTCTCCACAGGAGGGAAAGCTCTGCTTTCACTTAATATCACATTAATTGTGTTGATGGCCTTCTTCCCATTGTCTAAAGTGGTGTTTCTCAACCCGTAGGCCCCAAGAATATATGAAAGGGTTGGGAACAAGCTTGAAAAATGGATTGTCAAACTTTAAAAATGGTTCTCCTTTAAAGAAGAAAAATGTGGGAAAATGGGGCTTTCCCCTTGCAGACAAGGTTCAAATTACACTTTGACTCCGGGGGTGGAAGGGTCTACAAAAAAAACCAAACTGGCTTACTGGAGGGAGCAATCCGATGAGACACCCCCCAGGGTTATGATTTTCAAATCTGACAGGGGGGCTCATCTCTTATGGGAGAGCTCAGCCCCCCTGAACTCCCCTGTAATACACACCCTGCTTGCAGGCTGGCAGAGTTTCAGCCTGCGAGGGGCTACTTGAGGCCCCCCCCCATGCTCTACGCACTAGGGGGCTGGAGCACTGGTCAGGATAAATGGGTCCTGGTACAAAAAAGGTTGAGAACCACTGGTTTAAAGAGTGCACAAAAGAGCATGGCTTGCTTAACAATCCTTTCTCCAATTGATGAGCCAATGCCTCCACTCCAATGCTGTGAAGGACTGAGGCTGCAGCCACCTCACCCTCAGCATTTCAGAAGCACAAAGGGTCATGTGCTGAAGGTGCAGAACTGAGAGCAGGAGAAATAGAAGGCCATCAGTGCCTAGTGAACCAGGGAGTTAGTTACAGGTGAAAGAGACCTGTTCTATTAGCTGTTTTAATCCATTTTCCCTGCAATCAGTTGTCAGGCTGGGTGTTCCCTACAATCTGTTCTCCAGGACAGCTTTTTGGTTGACTAATTAATCCAACCCATGAGGATTTCACTATCTTCCTTGAGGAAACTCTTCTGCTAATATGGAGACATCCAACTGAGAATCTCGTTCACAGTCCACAGAGTCCAAGTCACACCTGCTTTACAAAACACAGGTGCTATATGTCCTGGCATGGAATGTCTCATTTGGATCACAGCAGCCTTCACCTTGCACTAAGCTGAAACAGTGCACGCTGGGCCATGTAGTCCTGGAAGGCCACACTTTGACAGTAAGAGCAGGCAAGTCACTGGCCACTTGGGTTATATAAATTCACTCTCTGCCACTCCTGCTCCAACAAACATTACTGGAACAAAAGTTGCCATTACAACCCTGTTTCCCTTGATTCAGCTATCCTCGCCTCTGCCTGCTTTTATCCCATGCACCTCTCAGTGTCTTGGAGAACCCCCTTTGTTCCTCCTCTCACAGCCTCAGTGCTCTGGAGAGAAACATTAAAGCCCCCAGCCAAAATGCTTCTCTTGGCATCTCTGCATAGAGGCTTTTCCATTTTTAGGGTACTCGCAGTAGGAAATATTGCTCTTGTGTGGGCAGTTTGGCAGCTGCTGTATCATTCAAATGCAGTGGCAAGTGCTCATGATTAAAGACTGCTGAGATATTACTAGACATCTGCTATAAAAGAGGACCATGCCCCAGCATCAGATAAGCCACAGTTCCAGTGAATGCATTACAAGTTATGACAAGAGTGGGCCCAGAAAGTCAGCTTGACTAATCACTTTCCAGAACAGAGCAATTAAGATGTCTCACTACAGATCCAGTGCTGAGAGTTAGAGCCACTCTGAAGACTCATATTGAGGACTGTCTCCAGTAAGCCCAGCTGTTATTTGGTACCTGATCATCTGGACTGAAGAGTCAATGGCAGTCAGCTGTGATCTCTCTCATGTGCCAGTGCCTACAGAAGCAGGTCTAGCTTGCCAAATTATCCCAATGGGCATACAGCTGATCTTTTTTTAATCACTTTCTAGCTCTGACACTGATTTTCTTAGTGTATGTGGAGAAACTGAGGCACACAACCCGATTTTCAAAAGAAGTGAGCCCACCTCCTTGAAGGCAGACATATGAGACAGCTCAACTATGTGATAGGTACCTAAATAGAGTAGCTGTATTTTCAGAAGAGATTGGCACCCAACAGCTGCCACTGAAGATAAGGAGTTGCTGGGATAATCCTATCAGTTGTGAAAGGCAGTTTCTGGTTGACCACTTATGGAGATCTGGCCAGGACCTCCTCAAATGTTGACCTTGGCTCTGTAATGCATTAGAGTACCCTCAGCCTGGACTCATGGCTAAAAGGCATCCTCTACCTGTAGAACACAAGCTTTTGCAGCAGTTCTCTGCTGTCAAGTCTCTCTCTCCCTTTCTCTCTCAACCATGTAACTAGGCTTTGCTGGTCCTGAACACCATTCACCATATTTGTCCTAAACAGCCCATCAGATAGCATTTAATGAGATCAGACCAAGCACTCTGGCAACCTGACAAGAACTGCCAAAGTGACACAAAGAAGAGAAGGTTAAATGAGGAAACAATCAGAGGAAAATATTCAAAATGAAAACACGGCCTCTTTGCCATGGATGGAAAGCAAACTAGGTAAAGAAAAAGCCTCTCTTCTTTGGCCAACTGGCACAAGAGCAAGAGGGAGAGGGGGGAGGAGGAGTGAAGGAGGAAATGCAAGAGAAAGGGGCAAAAGACAGAGTCCAAGGAAGAGAAGTCAATAGGTACTTACGATCTGAGCTGAAGTCATCTACTAGAATGATCTCCTGAATGAGACTGGCAGGGGTGCGGTTGAGAACGCTGCAGGAATCCAAGATGGAAAAAAAATGACCCTCATCATCACTGTGATAACTTATAGAAAGCATCAATAAAGGCTTTTGCCTGCAGTGTCTGTAAGCCTGACAAGACATATAAGTGGCTGCTACATATTAACTGAGGAATTCTGAGAGGTAATGATATAATAGGGTGCTACTGGCCACCTTCTTTACCACTGCACTGCCCCCTCCACCTGTATCTATTAGGCACGAGGAGACCTATTGAGGGTCAGCTATGATAGCACCCATGGCCCCTGGTCAGGACTGCTGCCTTCAATGTATTTTCTAAAGCTTTGTCCAATATGCTGTATATCTAAACTCCCACATAGGGGGCCTTCTATCCTTTCCCTTAGGAAGAGACTCTTCAATAAAACAACAGGTTTAACCATTACTCAGTGGGGGTGTCTACACAAGATACTAACTGCTCAGTAGCCTAATCCTACTGCACAGTAGTGTGCAGGGCAAAAGCCGTGCTAATACACTACTGTGCAGTAATATTAGGCTGCTGCACAGTTAGCAACACTAAAAAGCTGTGTGCTGGCACTACTGCACAGTAGCACCAATTACTGTGCATTGATTTAGTACTTGGTTATACAAGTACTAAACTTAATGAGCAGTAACTACAGCACATTAATGAACGTGCAGGTGCACCCAGTCTGTGTTAAAATATTCCCTTCCTGATTTCATCTTCTGACACTCTCCATCATTTAATCCCCACTTGGACATTTATACCCCTTAGGTACTCCATTTGGGTTTTATGAAATGTAGCCCC